CACCACAACCCAACCACAGGACCGCAACCACGGGGGAAGGGGGGGACTTGTTTGACCCATGACCATTGGGGGGTGGGGGTGGGGGGGACTGGCAACGCTGTACCATATGTATATATATATATATATTGTTTATATATATATATATATATATATGTATGATGCGTGTTTAGTTTGTTTGCTTGTTTGTGTGTTTGTTTGTTTGTCAAATCGATAGACCACACATTTCGCGATTTAGCTGGCGACCGAAAACCAGTGAAGGTTTTGCTGTCAGAGTTCTTTGATTTCAGTGGAAATATTGTAGCTTGGCCAGACCTTTCGGGTGTGGCCCTGTGTTTTGGAAATGGCAACAATATGAGTTTCAAGATATCGAGTGTACGGACTGGGGAGACATGGGACCACACCAAATTCCAGTCTGTCTACTATTCCCATGTCTGTCAGGGTTACGGCGTTTGACCGGCCGCTAGCAATCCCCAATGGGTCAGCCAGGGATGGACGAAAGGGCACCCCAAAGCTTCAAACCAAAACCCAGTTGCCCAGCAGTGGGGACTCTCTTGAAATTCAACTGGGCAAGTCAGCTACGGGTCACCATCCCCACCCCCTTAATCACTGAATATGGGGAGGGAGGTAAATGCAGTGAACATGTTTTTTGGGGCCCCTCCACAACAGGTTCTAATTGATTTGAGCGGAGCAAGAAACATCTAGCTTGGGTCTAAGTTATTTCGGTCAGACAACCCAAGTGGTTTGTCCTGAGCTTTTCCCCAGGAACCCAGTAGGGAGGTTCTTTGCATTTTTAGGTTTTCGCTTTACCACTCCACAAAGGTTGCCCAGCCTCAAAACGGACACACCCAAATCAGCTTATGCGGAAGGCACTTTCGCCAACCTCAGTCTTTACCTCCTGGTGCCTCGCCGTGCAAAGGCGGGGGGGGCACTGCACCTGTGTGGATTTTTGAACCGGGTGGGGGGCCTTGAGAAACTGTTAACTTACATCATATACACATAGAAATAGAAGTGCCTTTTGGGTGATTTGGATGATGATGACATAATTTTGGGCATATTGTTTGAAGTTTTTGATTCACAACCACGTGGGTGGGTGGTGTTTAGTTTTACCTCGGGTTTTGAGTGAAGCTATGACAAGGATGTCCAAAAGCGGTTGTGGCCATGTCACATGTGTCTTGTTCTTGCTCGCTTGCCAATTGAAAAGTCTGGGAAACGTCCCTTAGTCTCGCAGCCCTCCAGCCACATGAGTCTGGACCCAACTGGCATTAAATATGAGAATAGCATTGACATCCGTACAAATGCAATTGAACATTATGAATTGAGTAGCGATGTATGAAGCTCAAAATGGTAATTTGATAGTTTTGATAGCTTGAATGAATGCATATGTTGTGAGCAACGTGTATGGCAATGTGTTGGAGTCATATAAATCAATTGTCTCGGAGTTAAGGAATCGTGTGTCATAAAGTTCAGCCTTACATGCACGAATTATTTGAAGAAGGTTAGTGTTGGTGCGGAAACGTGTTCGGAGATTGTCAATACTGATGCCAATAAACATTGAATTGAACACGCTCTTGTTTTCCTTGTTCCCCCCTTTTGTTTCATCCAACAGTACACATTGTGAACAAGCATAACCTATATTTAATAATAAAATGGGGAGGTTGCCCCCTGCCTATATTTGTGGAGGTTCAAACGCCTGTGCAGGTATTTGGAGGTCCTTCCGCAAAGCTCGCTGGACATCAAGTTCGATTGGCGCTTGGCCGAGTTGTCTTCCGCTTGGACTGTCCTGGGAGAAGATCGGTATGTACATATATATATATATATACTAGGTTCCCCATTAGTGACCTTTTACCCTTTTTTTGGGGAGGGTTCCCCTACTAAAATAGACTACAGAAAAAAAAGTACCCTTATTCTAACCTCTCTACTGGAGGACCTAGTATACATAGATATATATATATATATATATGCGGTTTCTCAAAATCGGGGACCCCTTCTTGGGTTGGTTTTAAAGGCGCCACCTACCTGGGGTTCCCTATTTTGAATCACCCATATGGAAAGATCGGTTTACCCCCAAATGAATACGCTAAAGGAGCTCTCTATGTCTGAATTCCTGGCGGGTCCCGTGTCCACAATCAACATTTGGTTTTTTGGTTCACCATAACCAGAGTCAGCACTTCGTAAATTCCGCAGAGGAAGAGGCTAGCAGAAAGCGGCTGTCGGTGACGCTACTTGGGTCTTCAACCTGCGCAAGTAGCATCCATGGTTGTGAGGGGATCTACCCCCGTTGCGTCAGTTATAACCATGGTTATAACCGACGATTCACAGGCGGAAATACTTCCCCAGGCCGTGGGTCGCTAGAAAGATATCGGAATCGTCGCTGTCCTGATGAAAACCGGATCCCAGCCAAAAAACGGGTACGTGTCAAACATGTTTTTTTTTTGGGGGGGGGAATCCTGTTTTGTGATGATTTTCATGATTGTTTTCCTTTCCAAATACGGGTACCGAACGACTGCAGGGATCGACTGAGGTCCAAGCTCCTGGCGGCGGCGGCGCTGCCTGCCCTGGAAGGCGAAGCAGAAGCAGTGCACAAGCAGAGGAGTTTTATGTCTAGGTCCCACAGTAGTACCCCTTTACCAACTTTTTTGGGGGAGGGTTCCCCTACTAAAAGACTACAGAAAAAGGGTACCCTTATTCTAACCTCTCTATTGGAGGACCTAGTCTATTATTCTGTTTCAGGGGGCTTGAGCAAATGGAGGTTTGACTTTTAGACTTGTTTTGATCGGATAGTTTGCTTGGAAATAGATGGGTTCCACTGGTTTAGATTGGCTTTATGCCACATTCACCAGAGTGAGCTATGCCTATGTTTCCAACATGTCACCTATGCACTTGCAAATGTGTTCGGTGTTGCTTGACCTCAAAAAACATATTCGGGTCCCCTCATTTCATGGTTTGGATGGATGGTTTGAGGATTTGAACTGCTGCTGCTTATAGAGGATAAATGGGAACCCAGCCCTGGAACACTTCTAATCCAGCAAGCACATCCGAGATATCCCGAAAGACTTTCCGAACCTGACCATCGGATACGAGTTCTAGGTTTTGAAAAGGGAGCCTGAGGGTTTACACTTGGAATCTGCCAAGGCCAACAGGCAAACCCAAGGCCCTTGGATGGTTCCTTCCGGGTTTTGTGGATGCATTCGTTTGGAAGAAAGCTGAATCGGATGACCAGCAAAGGCCTGAGTGCCGGTGATCGATTTAAGAGCTTACAGTCATGCCGGTGAAAAATGAAAATGATACCGGCGTCGTAGTTCCCTTCAGCTTGATAGAGAATCTGAGCTGTTGAGCCCTTGAGAAAGGCTTAATTTCATGAGTGGCCTGTATATCGCAATAAAGGACCCCTGGTGTTGAGAAAATTTTCTGCGGGCAACCCAAAAATAGACCCTTGGGTGTTCAACCAACTTAGCACAGGGGACTCACCCCAGTTTCAGTCCCCCAAAGCTCCCATCCCTTTGGAAGACGTGATTCCATCCGAAGCCTAGGAGCTTCCAGCTGTTTGAGGGAGTGTAGCCCAGTTCCTAGGTCAGCTAACGTCCCTTTTGCCTGTACGATCCGAGCGCCTTTCTGGGTTCCAAGTACTCCACCAGTCAACCTGCACGCCCGATGTGGCTCTCAGCGCGGTGGCGCGAACGCGCCTTGAGACCACATGCAAATCCAAGATGGACATATCTTGGAAGATCTCAGATTCTGCTGGGGCAGTGGATCTTAGACTCACCTTAGATTCACCTCAGATCTTGGATGACTCTCTTGAGCTCCTAAATTCATCACAACACAACCAACGCTCCCGCCGAAACCAGCGAGCCGCGCTTGGGCCGAGCCAAAGGCCTTGAGGTCTGGCAGGCAGGGGTTCCCAGCTTCTCCCAAGTCAAAGGAGGTTCATGGTCTCTGCCTATTTGATCGCCAGCTCACCTGCCGGGTTCACCATGATACACTTTGATGCTCTTGGCCAGTTTGTTTTTCGCATTTTTTGTCCTCGCTTTTTTTGGTTCTTGGTTCTGTTCATCTTTAGTAGGGGCTGCAAATAAACAAAGTTCTTTTGCAACCATACCACGGGTTGCGAAGCAGGGGTTCGTGGTTTCTTCCGAATTTTGTTTTTCTCGAGCTCACCTGGGGGCTTCACCGCGATAAAGGTCCTGTACGTGGAGTCCCTTCATTCAGCTTTTGAACTTATAGAAAAAGGGCAAGCTCAGGTGGTTGTTGTGTTTGGCGCTAGAAAGTGGCATCATGAACATATGGGGAACTCCTACAGTGGCTCGTGGACAAAAATGATTCCCAACCTAAATTTGATGTCCACCGAAGCTTTGGTCCCCAAGTAGAGAGACTTCATAGGCAAGTGAGTGGGCCCCCACAGAAAATTCTCACAGGGAACCCCTAAAGATTGGATATGGTTTCGCGTGTTTTTTTCTTTTTCAACACATCCAAAAGCGGAAGCAATTTTTTGGTGATTGAAGCATGTTGTTTTTTTCCACCGGCAAGTTTGATCAATCGCTCAACGCTACTAAAACAACATCAACTATATTTGCCATACGAAGAATATAGTCAACTGCCACACCATGTGTTTGTGCTTCTTACTAGTACCTGCTGATTTCATCTTCCAGCCTCCCATGATGATGGGGGTTCTTTTGGTTTCCCGCAATAACCATTCAACTGGGTCCAACATACTCTCCTCCCTCCCTCAGTTCTGGACTTCATAATTTTGGGAGGACCATTTGAATGGCGAACAACAAGTTTGGGGACGTGTCTGACCAATCCACTCCGGAAGTCTTGGTGGCTCCCAGCCATGCCCTCAGCTTTTAGCTTTTCAGGGTGTAGAGGAGGTTTAAGTTTTCATTCAACCCGCCAAAAGCTGGTCGCTGTTAGGGGATCTGAAAAACGGACAGAGCTCGGAGGTGAGATTTTTTCTTGCCGTGCTCAAAGGGACGACTAAACGACTGGGTTCGGGTTCCGCAGGGATGGGGAACCTGCCGCTGTGCGGGGACATGTGCACCCCGAAGCCTTCGAAGACGCCGCGGTCCGCACCGCCGCGAGCGCCGTCGCGGTCCCCGGGCTGCACGGACCAGGCCGCCAAGAGCCAAATCCGAAGTCGAAGTCGACGAGGTGTGGGGTGGTTCTGGTTTTGCATACCTTCCCCCCAAACGGTTCCATGGAAGCTCCCGAACGGACCCCGAAATGGAAGGCTTGGTTGCATTTACAGAGCCACTTGGGAGCATTCATGTATGTCTGAGGGAGTGAAAGGAATGTTTGGTTTCCTTGTGACCCCGTTTTGTCCTCGAGGAATGTGGGGGGCCCGGTTTTGTTTGTCCTTTTGAGGAAAGAATATGCCTACATGGACCAATGGAGAAAAACGGAGAGTCCATCAATGTACATCAACATCAGGTTGGCCCCCGGATGAATCAACCTGGCGGATTCGTATGGGAGTGTGTTCTTCCCAAAAGTGACGGATCCCTTCTTTGAATGGGCCGCATCCCGTAGTTTTTAATGAAGGGAGCCTCCTCTTCTGGTGGCTTCCACGTTAGATTAGGAGATAAAGGGGCAGAAACTGCTAGTTTACTCGAATTTGCCACACCCTGACTTATTTAGCACCTTGAATTACCCTGAACATGTTTGGCTTTGCTTCTAGTGGATGGAACCCATGTTGGGTGAGAGGGTACAACCTGTACTGGAAAAGTCCCCTGTGGTTTGCCTCCTGTTTGTGTCTCTCGTTGGAAACATCGCTGCAGTTGCCAAACTCCACGGGAAGTCGGGAAATCGCAGGTGATTGCAGAGCTAATCGGGACCCTGGCAAAGCTCTACGACGTCAACGGAGATGGGTACATCTCCATCAAAGCGACTCGGTCGTGTCTTTAAATCGGGACCTCCCCCAAGCAAATTCTTTGGGGTTCTTTTGGTTTCCCTTTGACACCACCTCAGCAGAAAGGTTCCTTCAACAAACACACACACGCACGCACGCACGCATTCGCGGCGGAAGGGGGAGCGCGTGGCACCATGGGCTACTTCATATGGAGTCTCTTTGGGCCGTGTGCACTTGTAGACTGCCACTAAGAAGCTAACTTGCAGACACCCCTTGCAAGATGCGACGACATGCTGACAAAAAATGTTTTTGTTTTGTTGGTAGGCGTTGTGCCCAAACACCAGTAGCAGCATCAGCGAAGCACGCAAAACGGAAATGACGTCCTTAAAAGGGTTCCGAATTCAATGATGCCTGCTGCACAAGTAAATCCCCATCTGCCCAACGCCCCTTTTCCCATTGTCAGACTGTTGCCCAAACTTTTTGCCCTTTTCCAGCAGATAACTTTTTGCAGAGGGTCCAAGTCTGGTCCAGTTCCCTTTGTTTGGTCGCAAGTGGAACACTCGCAAAGGGTCAACCTCCAACTACCCCCTTCCCCACATCCAACATTTGCACTAGAAAATTGGGGGGGGGGGGGGCTGTTTTCGGCGACAGTTGAAACGCGTTTGAAAGGAGTTCCTAAACAGGAGACCATTTTGTCAACCCGCTCACCTACTTTCACTAGTCCTTTCACCAGTCTTTCCCCACACCCCTGACACAAAAACACACTTGTTTTCTTCATATCACCCATTTGTTATATAATATAATCCGCATCGTTCCGCATTTAGTGTCCACCCTCCACATTTAAAAAAAGAGCGACACACAACACAACTGGTAAATACCCACCTCCAAGCTTCTGTGTTGGATCACACCCCGTTGCTTGTGCGCGGAAGAAGGAGATGTGCGACATCAACGAGAAGAAGGCATCGCTGCACAAGGCGAGATGTTCCCGAACAGCACGTGGGCTACATGATCCAGTTTTAAAGCCATGCTGGGTTTACGGGAACCTGAAAGGAAAGGCCACAAACGGATGCGAGGCTTCTGGACCCTTTGCAGGTCCAGTGAACAAGTATCCTGTCGGATAGGAGCGGTTCACAAAGGAGGATGCGGAGCAAGTGCGACAGGACACCGTGGACGCCTTCAAGGACTGGGAATCCCGGACTCCACGAAGCCTGTGGTTTTTGCTCAATTTATTATTCGGAGGTTAGACAAGCTAATGAAGATCCTTTGCCTGGCCCAAGTCTCATCTCAGGTTTTGGAATCTGTGCAGAAATCGCAGACCCTGTTTCCTGCGGCATCTTTGGTTTCCAGTTTATGGCTTGCATCTCCTGAAGGCGTTCTTTGGGCCGGCAAGTTGAGTCATTACTTTTCCGGGCATATGAAGTTGCAACCTTGTATTTGAAGGTTCCATTCATACTTTGCCCAGATCTTTACAGGCCGCCATTTTTGGACGGCCCATAGGTTCAGTGTACATTTGGGAGGGACTTGGGGGACTCCTACATAAACCGAGAGACTGGCTGGACAAAGATGAAACGGAGCTTTGGCCATTTGCGTCCAAAAGTCAACTCCACCATTTTGCCAGTTCCCGTACATAGCCAGCCTTCCCCCGAGACTCTACATGATACTGCTGGATGTACGGCCTCACGGGCATCCGTGAGGCCCATATGAAACCATCGACAAAGCTTCTGGTCCATAGGGTAGCTCAATAGGACCCCCTTGTGAAGGTCATTGAGAGATCTGATGAAGAGAAGGAAGGCCCAAAACTGTGCGACATGGCGCAAAAGGAGATTCCCCCGAGCAAACACGCGGATGTGTTTTCAGCTCCATGTTTGTTATCAAGTGACATGCGGGGGGGGGGGTTGTGATGGACCCATGTTATGTTTTTGTCAAAGAAAAGGCAAGCCAACCATGCATGGGAACAGCCAAATTCCCCATAAAACCCATGCAGGGTAAACCTAAACATGGGTTGCGCGCGGTCAAAAAAAACCAAAAGAAAGCTACCTGCTCAGAGGCGACTTTTTACTATGGGAAGCACAGCGCGGAAAGAAAGGGGACTTTGGGAACTGCCGTTGTTCTAGGTGCTTTCTTTCTTTTCGTTTCTTTCTTTTTTTTTGGTGGTGGGTGGGTTGGTGGGGTGGTGTGGGGTGGTGTGGGGTGTTATTTCAGGTTTAAGGAAGCCACCGCAGGCAAAAGGGGGTCCACCGTTGAGTGACTGATAGTTTTTCGATTCTACCTCAAAGGGAGACTAAACGGAAATTGCCACTTCTTCGTTTTTTGGGGGGTTGGGTCCCTTAGATCTCCGGTTAGCCACAGGAAGCATGATCTTGTGTTCGCCACTGGACAGGGGGAACCTGAAGCTTGGAGCTGCGTGCCTTCCAGGTTCGAGCCCATGGGCCTCCAAGGGGATGATGGCTCAGCCCCAACTGGAAAACCTGAGGCAAGGAGCTGGGTACATTGGCGTTCGCCTGACCTGGGTTCAACACCCTCACCCTTGCCGCGATGCTCTGGTAGCTCACAGCCTACAAGTGTTTTCGAACTCGAGCCAGGTGGCCAACAGATCGACCGTTTGTCAAGCTGTGGACTTTGTAAGGCAGAATTTTCTTTTTCTTTTTTTAAACAAAAAAAGAGTCCAAACAACTCATGCGCCGGGCATTGTGCATGGACATGCTGAGGAGAACAATGCGAGGCGACCTCAAACAGCAGGCTGTGAACAAGTGGCTGTTGACAATCGCGTTGCGTCTGCGTTGCGTAAACTGAATGGCGATGGTAACGATGTCCTGGAAATCGCGCCAGGTCAGCCTTGCTGGCTGAACTAATTCAGCTCCTGCTGCAATATTCCGACGATCTAGATGCAGACTCTCTGACTGAGCTTGAGACTGGGGCATCGCTGAGCATTGTAAGTCCGATACGGAATTCCAGTCGCACGCCTTAGCGTTCAGTTGATGAGGGCGCTAACGTGGACCAATTGCAGTTGCGCAGGGGCCTCGGAGAACGCAGCGCTGACAGGCCAGCTCACCCAACAAGAGTTGGACGTCGGGAATGTCACGCAAGCCTCTGCCCTGCGCACAGCCACGGGCCAATGGGCTAAGGCATTGGTCATTCCGGGCCTAGACCAGCTCGACTCGAGTTGGATTCCTTCATACAGGGGGTCAGTGCCTGCGCGAAGAAGGCTTTGCCAAACGAAATGCAATTTCCCATCAGCGCGTACTTTCATGACACAGGTCCGGAAGTCATGCGCCAGGGCATTGCGGGTGGACGTGAAGGCTGCTCACAAACAGATCTTGCTGAACCCAAAGAGCAAGGATTGATGCCGCGTTTCCAGGAAAGCTTCTCACGCTCGACTTGGGCGCCGCGGCCCGCTCGATGTCAGCAGCGGCGCGCAGGTTGTAGGATTGCTTGCGTTGCCCTATTTGGTGCCTACGTTGTGTCGCTCTACCAGGCGAAAAGTTTGCAGCTGGCAATCGTCGAAGAACCCGGCTCAGACTTTGCAGCCGCCCCTTTGCCTCTCAGCCCACCCTCTTGATTCTTCAAGGGACAGCGTGCGTTGCTGATCAGGCGACGGATGTTGCCGAACAGGCCCAGCAAAGGCTAGGCGAAGTGTGGTCGGCTTCCCAACAACAAGAGCCCACCTTTACGCACCCAGTTCGCGTACCACGCGCAGCGCCCGCGCGCAGCCCCAGCACACTCATCAGGAAGATGTAGGCTATGTCAACCTTGCTCGACAGCAAGCCGTTGGCCATGTCAATTAGGTATGACAGGAAGCCGTTAGCCATGTTGAGCGTGCTAAGCAAGAAGCAGAACCAGCAAGGTAAGCGTATTATAGATACACTGGACAGCGATAACTCTTTGATGGCTCAACGGCTGTTTCATCATTTACATATCAAGTTCAGTGCCTCGATGCAGCATCAAGTCAAATCCTGCGGCTCCTGGGCAGTTGGGATCAAACGCCGACGCAGAGTCTACGCAGTGGAATTGCCGGAAACGCATGTCTGCAATCGCTCGTGCGCCATATCCTAGGAAACATTGCTGCCCTGGCAGATTTTCTGAGTCGTGGTGGGCAGGCTGCAGACGCAGGTTTGTTGCAGAAACAGGAAAAGGGGGAGGAGGCAAGCGCTCTGCCAGCTTCCTGTTTTTGATGCTGAACTGCGGTCGGCGTAGATGAAGAGGCAACCCAAGCGGCGAGGTACACCTATGCGAATGATAGCGACCTGCAATTGTAGAAAGTCACCGAAACAGTGACAACAGCGCAGTTAAGCCCTAATTGATGGGGCGTTAAGAACGAATGCCGCAATGCCTGCAACCTGCGACATGCAGATGCCCAAGTCTCCAACTCCAACTGCCTCGCCAAATCGTTTTAAGGCAAGCTGCTGATTCTGCAATGGGTGGGCTGAGTGGGTGTCAAAGAAAGGAACAAGCGCACCCCCGCCGATCACCGGGCTTGCTCAGAAAGCGCGCAGCGTCTCAAACCTTCCGGCCCCCCTCCCCACGCAGTGGTGTTCCTGTCACTAACCGTACCGTTGGGGGCATTCCTTTGCGTTCTTGATGCAAGCGCGCTCGCTTGCGGTCTACTGATTGCAAGCAGTCGGGTGTGTGCTATTTCACGAAGGAGCAGTTGTTCCACGAGCTTTACCTTCATTTTTCCCTCACACCCGGGGTCTGCCCCGGCAAGGAGTTCGCCCCCTTCCAGGCACCCTCGGCCACCTATGAGGCGGACGGCATCACCTACAACCTGCTCATCTTGGAGGGCAAGCCGACCTGGATCCAGCAGCGGGAATGGGGAAGCCTGGGTGCCGTTGGCCACGGTGGGACCCTGGCACAGGCCGACCGCAACTTGGTGGACGGCACGGTCTTGGGGAGAGCCCCTCCAAAAACGGACTCGGCGGATGAGATCACCATGGCAGATGCGGTCCCGCTTAACAGGCGGGTGGACATCCGGCAGGAGATCCTGTGGAAGGTCCGGGAAAGCCAGGAGATCAAGGTCAAAGTGCAGCGGTCCCTGAAGGAGGCGGAGGCTCAGAGCTTCGAGCTCTACCATCCCCAGGTGGACCAGGCGATCAGGAAGAAGGAGGAGCTGCATAAGGCCTTGCGGGAGCATCGGGAACCGACTCCGGAGGAGGCCGGCGGCACAATAAGTTGGTCACTGAGGAGATGCTGGGCAACGAGATGGCGATCCTGGCGCCCCTCCAGGAGGGCATGCAGGCCCCGCCGTCAGATGAGGTGGCCAATGAGGGAGCCCGTGCCCTCAGGAAGGTCAAGGCCAAGCTGAGAGACCAGTACTTGGATGGGAAGGGCGTTGACGCCAGCCAGGCATTGGTTGAGGCGATGGGCTCCATTCAGGAGGCTCAGGCGGCAAACAAGCGAACCCAGGACACCAACCAGGCATGGATGCTCAACCACACTCTCAAGCCCTTGGCCCCCTGGAGCTGGATGACCCCGACGACATCCCCCCGTGGGGGACATCAAGGAGAAGTATGTCAAGATGCTCAGAGCGTCGCAGAACCCGTGGCACCAGGAGGCACTGCTGGAGGAGATGCCCGAGCTGGAGGCAGTGCCACCGGCCCCGGGGGGGACCAGCCCATGTTCCCAGTCATCTACACGGCCTTGGAGATCCGAGCTCAGGTGAACCGGGGCGAGCGCCCGGCACCGGAGCAGGTGGTTGGTGTCTTCTGGGCGAAGGGTGATGGGGTGTTTTGGACCAGACAGACGAGAACGTGGGACCTGCCGAGCCTGACAGGGGTGTACGCCCACAGGTTCACATTTAAGTATATCTACTCGGCCTGGACCACCTTCCCGTTGATTGTGAAGACGCAACGCCGGGGCCGCAACGCGGAGGGCTCGACCTCGGACAAGTGGATGGGCAACATTATCCAGATGAGGAAGGAGGCGGTGCCCTTCCTGGAGCCGCGCAGCAAGGAGGAGTGGAGTTACATCTTCAAGGAGATGGGGACCTTCTTGGCGGCAAAGAATTTCATCGTGAACTGCCCGTTGCCCGTGATGGAGATGCCGGTGGCCCCCATCCATGACAGTAAGGAGGCGCTGCGGTTCAGGGCAGTTTGCGACGAACGGATCACCCTCCCGCTGGCCTCGCTGAGGGCCTTCGACTCGGTCTACACCAAGTTGGTGGCGGGCCTGAGCAAGTCGTCGA